AACAGTGCTTTTCTGTTTCTATAATTCCATCAATTTTAAGATCTCCAACACCACTGGCTGAAATGCAGCCCCAAACATGACAGAGCCTCCATCGTGTTTTACAGATGGCAGTGTTGTACTCACTGACCTCCTCGATAAAGAAATTAACCAAAAATGTCCAATATAGATTTAGTGCATTAGACCTGTTGCTGCTGATTTTCAGTCTAGTTCTTGAGTAATTTGCCACACTTCAGCCTTTCCTCCCAATTTCCCTTCCTAAACAACCGTTCTTTAGGAAGCAAGCACTCAGGGAAACAAGCACTCACCACTGAGGCTGAAGTGAACTGGTTTAGCTGGATTAGATGATGGTCCAAATGCATCCATCTGCTGGATTATTTTCCTTTTGCCCGAGAACATGATTTTCAGTTACTGTTCAATTTTGTTCTCGATTTCTTCAGTTTCCTTAATTTTTATATTTTCACACCATGGCGAGATATGGCAAGTTTTCATCTCATTATGAATCAGTTTGTTGGTGCAAAAACACTGGTTTTGTCAATAGGGCCCAGAAGCCAGTGAATGGAGACACACACAGAAGCAGCAATAAGATTTTAACAAGGTTATTTGTGCTTATTGAGGAGCACCTCCTACATCTGGGTCTGTATGCACCGACAGAGATGTAGGTGGTGTTTGACGGATCAAACGGCGAGATCAGTCTTGGGTTCCTGGAACGGGTGGTTGGTAACCTAGGGAGGCTTCAAAAGGTAGCGACCAGTTGCAGACAAGGTAAGCTAATTAGGAGCGTACTGTATACAAGGAAGTTGCAAAGATCAGGTAGCAGGGTTTGTCGCTGTGACTCAGCAGAGGGCCGACTCCAGCTCCTGGTTGGGCCTTTTGATTTGCTCATTGGGTTTAGGGTGGTACCCGAGGCTGAGGCTGACCCTGGCTCCCAGTACAGAGCAGAAGGTTTTCCAAACCTGTGAAGTGAACCGAGGACCTTTAGGAGCTTGGCTGTGTTGGAGGCAGAACGAAGTTTATCTAAAGCAATGAAATGGGCTGACTCGGAGAACATATTAGGATTACGGTTTTCCCGGAGAAGATGGGTAGGCCAGTGACAAGGTCTAGTACTATGTGTGACCAGGATCTGTGAGGGGTGATTAGCGGTTGGAGTAAATCTGATGGTAATTTGGTGCTATTATTGCTTTGTGCACAAGTGGAACAGACAGCTACATAATCCTTGACATCCTTTTCTAGAGTTTACTTCCAGAAGTAAAGAGATAGTCCTACTTACTCTGGGGTGACAGAAGAACTTTGGTGTTGTCAGTGTCCCAGGTGATGGCGCCCACCTTGCAGGTGGCAGGTAACATATTTGCAGGCTCAGGTTCATCAGCGTTGGAGGTGAACTGTAGCAACAAGGCGTCAGGCTTGAAATTCCTGGAACCTGGATGAAATCAAATTGAGAATTTAAAGTACCCAAAAACAGAGACCAACAAGCTTGGTGGGTGTGAAGTCTTTTAGCAGTTCTTAGTTAAGTTACGTTTTTGTGATCAGTCCGATCAGTCCAAATGGTAAACAGTTGCCCATCTCCTTCTAGCAGGTGACGGCATTCTTCTAGAGCTAGCTTAATTGCTAACAGTTCCCAGTCACCTACATCATAATTCTGCTTGGCATGAGATGTGATGATCCAAGAAGGTGCTACAGGGCTGCAGTTTAACTTGGGGCCTTGAACGTTACAAGAGTATGGCCCCGACTCCAGAATTGGAGGCATCTGCTTCTACGATGAATAGTTCTGTGGTGTTAGGGTGGAACAAAATATGTGCAGAAGTGAACAGTTGTTTCAGTCTAACAAAGGCTGCTTCGACTTCAGGGGACCAGACAAATGGAACTTGGTGGAGGCTAGGTGAGTGAGGGGTGTGGTTACCTGGCTGTAATTCTGAATAAAACGTCATCAGAAATTGGCAAAGCCCAGGAATCATTGAAGGTGTTTTTGTGGCGTGGCAGTGGGCGATTCGCTCACAGCTTGAACCTGCGCTGGATCGGTCTTTATCTGTCCCCCTTCCAGAATCTACCCAAGAAAGGTGACAGAAGAAGAATGGAACTCACATTTTTCTGGCGTATAATCGATTCTCTGGAAGACGTCACACTTCTTCACTGCGTACAGCTCTAGATACTGTAACTCTTCTGAAAAAGCCTAACATCAGAAGTATGTGACTCTCTGGTAACTCTCATATGTGCACCTTGAAGCAAATAACTCGTAAACTGGAGAGGAAATGGCGTCCCCCTAATTTAGATCATCATTTAGCCTGTTTGCTTGTCTAAAAAGAAGCTAGAACATCTTACTATTCATCACTGATTGAAGAAAATAAGAAGAGCCCTAGGTATCTCTTTAGCACTTTAACCAGGCTGACAAAAAACATTCCTTTAACATTAACTAGTAATGACAAGCAAAATTTGAACCATTAGAAAAAAGATTACTCATTACCATCTCACAGACGCAACGATGCGTATGGCTACTTTCAGTACCACTGATATTCATTTTCTCCAAATGATCTTCAGTAAATGCTTCCTCCAAACCATCAACGTGTCTTTTAGACCTCAAAGAAGTCCTGCCATTAATTAATGCTTCGATCTTAAACATTATCAACCTATCTCTATTAGTTGGCTAAGTACCACAGGCCTGTTAAAAGGGAGTTTATCCTTCCCAAACAAAGAAGCTTGAGGCAACTGTTTTTGTGATTTGGCGCTACATGAATAAAATTGAATTTAACTGAATTGAATGTTCATGTAAAATAATACAAATTCATTGTACAGAATGAGAGTTTGTTGTTGTGAACTGCGATACAGCAAGTATTAGTCTGAAATGAAAGGAGATTGCTGCACTTCCTCTGAGCTGTCAGGCTGCAGGGATTTTTTTAAGGTTAAAGTAAAGAAACTGAAACAGCCAGCTGTGGGCAAGCTTTGATGATGAATAACCAACCCCCTTAATTACTTTACTGGCAGATGACTGATGCGTTTCCTCTTCTCTCTGCAGTGTTTCTGATGATGGGAGCATGCGGATGAGTCCACTGGTCACTGTGTATTCCAACGGTTCAGTGAAGGCAGACTTTCAGCAGCGGCTGACCTTTGCGTGCCGTTTAAATCTCTTCTTGTTCCCCTTTGATTTGCAAACGTGTTACATCTCATTTTCATCTCTGAACTCTGATGGTAAAATACACCAGATTAACTGTAATAATTGGTTCACTTGCTCTTTTCTGTCAGAGCAAATGATTTGGAGTCATTTGTTATTGTCTTCATAGTGGACTCTATAACATTTGGAACGATCAGCGACGAAAGATTCCTTACTCAAGTCTCTGATACAGTCATGCTTACAAGGGGACAGTGGGAACTCAAACACATCGACATATACTCAACTAACCAAACCATTGAAAATAAAAGCTACGTTTCTTTCAGAGTAAGACAATATCTGGGATGACATTTCAGTAATAGCTCTTTCACACATGCCCATATCTCTTTGTCTCTAATGACTCTGTTTTTACAGGTGTTGATGTTGAGGAAGCCCATGCTTTATGTGATAGATTTCATCATACCCCTCTTCTATTTCCTGATCATGGATTTGGCTTCATTCTTCATTAGTGAGGTCAAAGTGGAAAAGCTGAGCTTCAAAGTGACAATACTTCTGTCCATCTCTGTCTTACTGCTGCTTCTTGCGGACATATTGCCGTCCACTGAAAAACACATGCCAATCATATGTGAGGATTCAGATAAGACATTTTACTTGCACTATGTTGTATATATATTTTTTCCACAAATTTCTAATGTTGCTCTATCTGTGCTGCTAAACCAAAGATCTGCTAAACTATTTTTCATTGTTTGTGCAACAGTGACAATAAAGATCATCTTATTTCTTATCTTTCATTGTGGCAGACTTTTGTAAAATAGCACTGACACATAATCTCTCTGCATCTCACTTCTAGCCATTTATTGCATGGTCATCTTTACAATGGTGGCTGTAAGTGTCCTGGAGACCATGCTGGTGATGTTTTTAATGGACTTTGAAGGTTTTAGTTTTTATAAGAAGGCTGAAAACTGTGAAAATGCCAAGACTGATGTTCAGCTGGAACCCATGGAAGGTAACCTCTTTTTTGAGATATGGAAATGAAATTACAGACCATTAGTCCCCATGATGAGACCTTAAGTTTGGTCTCTATGAACCACGTTTTGTTCATCTGCTGTCTGGCGCTGGCCATGTACATAGAAATTTGTTGACAATCCCAAGCTTTTTCCCCTGACATGGAATAATCAACTGGGAATAATTGACAAGCATCATATTCATATTATTAGTATTATAGTAACTGATTATTATATTGGCTATTGTCTTTATTTCCTGCACAGATTCTGCTGAAACTTTAAAAAAGGGTGAGGGGAAACCGAAAAGAAGTGACCTACCCAGTGACTGTGACCTTCTGAAGTTAATCCTTGATGAAGTGAAGGCAGTTCAAGACAAAACTGGAAGACAGGACGAAGTCAATGGAAAGCAAGAAAGCTACAGGAGACTGGCTGCAATCATAGATCGTGTGTTCTTTGTTTTATATTTGATTGCTTCCACACTTTTTGTGGTGTTGGGATATTTAAAGTGGATTCCACAAATGATCTGATTTAAATTTGAGTAGATTTCGTGTTGTGTGTATAATCCATCAGTGCATGAAAATAGATGTTTTAGTTGTGAAACATCACCTACGCAATGTTAGTAAATGCATGCAGTGCAGGATGAAACATGTTAATAACTACTGCACGTCTTTTTCAAAACTTGAGGAAACCCACTCTGGAAGGTCATTGAAAAGAAAGTGAAAACAAAATAAGAACAAAGACTAATCATAAAATACAAAACTAGAATAATTCAGGTTTCTTGTTGCCAAAGGGTACTGTCTGAGTCTCATCTATCTCCAGGGTTTACAGAGAATGGTCCAAACGGGCCTCTTAACCTCTGATGGCTACACTCAGCAGGAAAACACGTTTTGTCACAAACCTCAAACAATCTCAATTTGGTTTTTTTGGAGATGGAAATGAATTTGGTGTACTCAAATAGTTTCAACAGTCACTTTCAGTCCAATAGAGCACCTTTGGCATGTATAGGAATGGGAGACTCATATCATAGGTGTGCAACTGTATGTCAATATGGACCAAAATCTCTGAGGAATGGTTCCTCTGAAGACACATTCGTCAGCTGCCTGTGAGCAGAATCAAAAACATCTCAACATGTGTCAGGTTATGTCCAGTTCAAGACTCCTGACCAGGGTCAACAGCTTAGAGGATGGGCCTCTGCAACAGGAATGCAGGAGCAGTAATGACTCTTCTGTGTAATTCTTACCTTACGGACGTTTGGTGAGATTCTATTTATTTGACCTATTATTGTTCAAGCTTTTTGTCTTGGGTTAATTAATGTTTTGGTTGCTGCAACACATGAATTTCCCAACTTGTGGGATGAATAAGGTCGTTGTATTTTTTTCTTGCTGTATAATAAAAGTATCCAGTAACTCAAAACTGTTCTATTTTCAACTTCAGTCACATAAGTCTAGAGACAAGTTGGCAACTATCTTGCGACCAGTGGTTGCTATTCCCAAACAAGTTGGTAAGGGTTTCTTGGATGTTTGTGATCGTTACTTGATACAATCAAGTTGCAAGTAGTTTGCATGGTTACAACTTATCCAACCATTCATGTGATTGTTTTGGTGGCTAGCAGAATGAAGAGATTGCCTGTAGTTTCCAATGAAGACGCTGACATGCTGCAAATGATTGGTAACTATTTGCTGTGCTTCAGCAGAACTTGTAAAAAAAAAAAAAAGGCTGATGCAAACTGGAAACAGAATATTTGCCTTCAAAGTAAAAGTTGTGCTCATTGGTGTTGCCATATTTCAAGATGTAGAATTTTACTCTCTGTTTCCAACTTACGCTGCTTCATCACAGCTCAGAGAGAGGTTGATAGTAAGTTGTATTATAACAAAGTGGAGCAACTGGTAAGAACTGTAACTCAGCTATGTCACAGTTGATGTAAAATCACAGAGAATTTACAAAAATGGTTAATAAATCAATAAGCATAATAGATCATTAAAGTTAAAAGTACTGAAAATAAACAAAGCATTCATAAAATATTAATAGGCATCTTCCAAAATGCACATGATGCTGTATGTCTTATACACACTCTGGCAGGATGGTGCTCCATGCTAGCCAGCAGCAGAGCGCTAAGCTTAACAGTGTCCCAACATTACAGGGAAACATAAATCATCTAAACATTCTAGTATCCTATTGGTACATTTGCAAATGCAGTCAGCACATCTCAACATATATATTTCTACAGTTCAAAAGCAGAAATGCTCATTTAATACTAAGGTTGGGCAATTGGATGACTATATTGACTATTGACAATAGGCTTAGCCTTTTACCGATTGTTTTTACAAGAGTTATTTATTTATTTGTGTATGAATAAGTTTCCTAATCATTTTGTCTGAAACTAAGAGAACCAGCCAACGGAAAAAATAATTGCGCTCTTTTAACGGTGACTTCTTCCAGCTGCAAGCAAATGCACCCTCATGGTGCACCCAAATGCAGCGATTCATTTACTCGAACAGTAGGCTATGTTCAGAAAAAACAAAAACATTTTATTTTAATAAAAAAAAGAGACCTACAATGGTGGGTATGGAAACAAAGAAAAACTGGCTTCTTTTTTCCACTATAACCATGTTTACAGGCCGTTACAGAGTTTATCTGTCTTACACACTCAACCAAACAACAAACACAAAATTAAACAAAAACTAAGTTAAAAATCAAAATGTCTCTTCCGTCAAATGTTAAAAAATCTCAGCCTCAATGTTAAGTCTTTTGTGCGATTTGGTACATGTCAAATAAATAAATAAATAAATGAATAATCCAAAAAGTAGATAGATAGATAGATAGATAGATAGATAGATAGATAGATAGATAGATAGATAGATAGATAGATAGATAGATAGATAGACCGAAACAAACAAGAAACGAAGTTAAAATATTCCCTCCAAACAAAACGTTTAAATTCTAAATGTGCAAATCAGTCCATGCAGGGTTACATGGCTCCGCCCATCAAAAAGTCACCTGCGCAAATATACCGCCTATCGTCATTTATTGGACTGACGATTGTCGGTTGGAAAATTTACTATAACTTTAATTACATATCGCCCAACCTTATTTTAAACCTAAAAGGAGACAAACGAAGAACGATGCTCAGACACAATGCTTCTCTTTCCGCCGCTTTATTGGGAGGGAGGCCAGAGCTCCCCCTTCTGGCAACTGCAGGCATAACATCAATCACGATTAATAAATTACAGTGGAACCCCGACTTACGAAATTATTCGTTCCAGAAGGTCTTTGGTAAGTCAAAATTTTCGTAAGTCGAAGCACCTTTTTCCATCGCCTTTTGAGCTGGCTGAAGACGAAGTTCTTGGCGGAGGAGGAGGTGGCGGAGGTTGAAGAAAGCATACATACGTACGTGTACATGTATATAACATTATGGAATTTAATTTAATTTTTAAAAATTTTCTATTTTATCTATTTCGTTACACGGGCATTTTGCCGTATCATGGGCAGGAATATTGCTGTTAAGTGCCTTCGTAACTTGAATTTTTTGTTAAATGGGGTCTTCGTAAGCCGGGCTTCCACTGTACATGGATTAATCCTCAGGCTCACCAAGTAGATCATGGATTGAATTTTAAACAGGTTGTAGTCATACATAAAAATGGCTATAATTTATCAACGGTTATAAATGTTTTTTAAACTCTTGAACTGTGTTAAATGTATAATCTACTGTCTAACCATACACAGTCAAAATGAAGAATATTTTACCATTGTTCAAACATTTTATTTCTCACTTTCAGTATTTGATCTGTTGTCTTTGAAGTATTTTGCAAGTAACTGAGTTAATTAAAGAATAGCTGAATTTTATATTCTGAACAGTGCTTAAACTTTCTGAAGATTTCACACATAATTGCATAAAACCTCTGGTAATTACATTCTGTATTATACCTGAAAATATAAATTCATAATCAGTGACTTAGAGAGTCACTTTTCAAAGTAAAACTGAATTATCATTAAATATTTACGGGCACTGCAAAGAGTTTGCTCACTGAAAACCTGTCTACTCTCTCCTGGTTTAATACTTACATGTTGACTTTTTGACTCAGCTGCCAGCCAATGACATGAATGCAGAGGTGATTAGTATTATTTCCCTTTCAACAGCACACAGGAACAAATAGAAGGATTTTAGTATACTTGACAGTTCATTTTTTACATATATTAATTTCTCCTTCACACTATTGTATGACTCTGTTCTATGTAAGCAGCTGTGCAGTTTAAAAGCGTTTACTGGGACTGAAGGCAGACAGCCATGACTGCTCTGAGGACTCTAACTTTTCTTTCCTTAATTGGTGAGTTTTTAAATTTGACCTTGATTTGAACATTTTAATTATTTTTCTGAACTTTAGTTGGATGAGTTTCTGATGTTTAGGTCTTACATTTTGCCTGTAAGTTACGATTTTGTGTTTTTTT